AAGGAATGTCCGGGACAGTTTTTTCTGAGATCAAAGATCCCAGTGGAAGATGATGCGTGACGATCATGAGCAACACTTGTAATAAAATTAAAGAGAACAATATATCTTGCTAAAACTCAGAAGCTTCATTTGGATTGTATGGTATGTTTTAATATTATTGTAAGTATGGGCGGAACTAGCAACAAGGCTACCATGGGCTCTAGCCAGGTAGCCTTTAAAAAATATTTAAAAATATTATATGTATTTTTATGTGATTTCACTCTATAAAAGATTAGTAGTCCATAGCCTAATAACTCCTTGTCCACTCAACCAATAGGCCTACAATAATCTTATATCTAATTTGTTTGCTCAGTTCAGAGGGAGAGTTTGATCCACTTTTCTATTGTGGTGTCATCCTATGTGCTAGGTTTATATGATTTAATGTATATTTTTATTTCTAGAAAAATATAGAAATTATAAGTATAAAAATAAAATAAAAAGAGCATTAGATTTTAAGCTAATAACTTTAGCTAACTCACCCGTTAAAAAATTCCTGGTTCCGCTTTGTAAGCTTGTAATTCTAAGGCATGTACAAGATGCATGAATTGTTTATTCCGATGAGGATGACCAAATGTATTGGATTTTTATGCATGCCATTGCCAACTGTGGAAGCTCCGATATGCTATTCGTTGTGCAAAAGTTGGGGTGTCTTTTAATATTCTTAATTAAAGTGAGATAGTGGGAGACCTGATGAACTGATAATTGAACTTTTTTCTTTTTCTTTTTTCGTAGTATATGGGGCCACGGCCAAAACCATCACATCATAAAAGTCGAAACCAATTAGGTTTAGTTTTCTTATATTAATGACTTCTAAAAACAAATGAGTAAAACATTTGTAAGAAAAATAGATCACACAATATTTTTCAATCAATTTTAGTTCAAAAAATAATAATTGAAGACAAAACAATTATGGTGGAGTTTTAGCATAATATAATTATGATGAGAAAAAACTGATTTAATACCTTTAAAATAAATAATAAAAAAAATAAAACTCCCATCAAGCAACAACCACCTCCCTCCCCAATCCAGCCCGTCTCCTGCTTGCCAATTGCCGATGCCCCTCACTAAGCAGTTAACATCCTTTTAATTACGTGTAAATACACGGATGCTAAATGCAAAGATTCGAGATTCCACTTTACCACAATGGCCTAAATTTGAGGTGATAATGGTAAAATTCTTCCTTCAATTTATCATTGCTTTTGATAATTTATTCCACAAAACAAGAATTACCAAAATAAAGGCCATCATTACTTTACTTCTTCTTTCCATGGTCAATTTCCGCATCTCTTTCTGATTTCTATGTCGGATTCTTCTGCATATGTTTTTCTTAGTTTCTTCTTCAACAACCCCTCTCTCTCTCCCCCAATAATTGTACGGAACATGGATTGCACCGTAAATTAATTACATTGCATAACATAATCATATATTATATATCGTGTAAAACGAGCCAAGGAAGGGATAGTGGATGGACCAACCCATTGAATAATTTATAAATTAATGTCTGTCAATCGGAAGGGGATGCTTGTTTCACTTTAAATTAAACCTGAGATTATAGACTAGCACGTACCAAGTGTCGCTTTTGGCTTTAGCTGTCTTATCCAATTCGATTCTGAAAAACTAGCTTAGCTTAGCTTAGCTTCTTCTTGATAATTGATCGAGGGCAAGTGTCGATGCTGCGGTGCTATTGGTCACTTGCCTTAATCTTCCCATTCTCCTCCTCATTATCCTACTAATGGTCACATCACCGCATTAAGGAGACATACTGTTCTACTAATTGGCTTTGTATTTATGTTCGTTTGAAACCAATTCCCAACCATGGTTTAACCCGTATGGCCAAGTCCCCGTAGACCCAAACCCAATCCATTTTATTTCAACGTGACACAAACGAACGCTCGAAGAAATTTCAACACAAAAACTATAAAATTAAATTTAAATGTAGTATGACTAACATTTTTGTTAAATGAATAGTGGTGCCTCTTTGTGGTTTTTGGTCATGCTAATTGGAGTGAGGGCTGCATGCTCATATTGAAGTCCTCCAAGTTAACAGCTGTGTATGGTCTTATCAGAGATACCTTGATGGTTATATGTAGTTTATTTTTGAGAAAATTTGGTATGAATCCAAATTTCCAATTAAGAATTGAGTTTAATTCTCGGATTTTGTGTTTTTGATCTAAGCCTTCTCACTTTTATGCCACATAGGATTACATTCCTTTTCTAATTTTATGTTATAATTATATTTTTTTTATGTTTAAAATTATTGTTTTTGTTCCAATTATGCTTACCTATGATTTAAATCGGAGATTTTCTATTTAAATCCCGCACTTCTCTTTGTTCACCCCAATACTTAAATCATTAAGCTGTAAGTTTTATTATTGTGTAAAAAGACAAAAAAGGTCATCTAACTTAATAATTAACCCTAGTACATCTATACACACACCCCACACCCCCAGGGACGGATCTAGGATTTGAAAATAGGGTGGGCTAAATTTACCTTACGTACAAATATTTTAAGAAGATACAAAACTTGACAGTACAAATTAATTTCATTGACAAAACAAAATACCCTAGTGAGGAGTACATATAAATAGAAACTAGTAAAACAAAAAACACTACCATTAAATTGACGTTTTATTTGAAAACAAGATGGATATTCCTTTACTTTTAGTTGACGTAGTCCCAAGAGAATATATACTCCTAATTCTACTTCCGCTCTTTTTTTTTCTACGTACAGGAAAGGGTGGGATATTGTAACAAAACAAAAGCAAAAACAAAAAAGGGAAGAAGGGGTTTATTTATGCATAAGTAGGGTGGGATGATATTTTATTTTGGCCTTAGAGAAATAAAACTGAAGAAAATATTTGGCTATTGCAACATAACAAACAAAAAAAGGAAGAAGGGGATACGCAAAGTGTGGAAAGGCTATACTTGGGTGGGTTAATGCTTTAGTTTAGGCTTAAAAACATACAAGCCTCTTCTAAGGTTCGTCTCTGCACACCCCACACTAGGGGTAGGCACGGTCCGGATTGGTTCGGTTTAACTCTCAAATCACAGTTGAACCAATAAGAAAATATCAGTCTGGTTTGGTTCGGATTAGCCTAAAACCATAATGAAAACCGAACCAATCCAAACCACTTGTAATCGGTTTGGTTCGGATTGGTTCGGCCGGTTTGTGCCTAACACAAAACCATGCATTTTTCAACCTGCTCTTACATTATAATGCTAACATTTTGCCATTATATCAATCCATTCCATCAAAGGCTAACACAACAACATTCCATTTAATCAAAAGCTGTCCAATTTCCATCAAAACAAACATTCCAAAGTTCATAAGAAATGAATACAAGATGATAAAACTAAGAAATGAAAGGCTGCCCAAAATACAAGTTCATAATTTCCATTTAATCAAAAGCTGTCCAGTTTCCAGCATGCATTTAAGTTCACAATTTCCATCAAAACAAACATTCTGAGCTTCAGAGGTCACAGCTACTGGTGCAGATTCAGTCATAAGTGATGGCTGATTAGAAGCAAAACCTTCTTCCACCCCCTGGTTTATCTCCATCTATATAATCAGACAAATTGCACCTTAATCAGAAAAATTGCACATTAAATAAATTTTCCTTAATCAGACAGATTGCACCTTAATCAGAAAAATTGCACTTTTACCCTAAATCCTAAACCTTAATAAATTTCCCTTCTTCTTCTTCTCAATCAACTGAGTCAAACACTTTTACTTACTGTGAGCAAGCAATTCATAACATTATGATCATGAACAAACATACACCATACAATAAGAGCTAGCGAAGCCCAAATGTAATAAAACTTATGAGTTAACTTATTCTGCAGTAAGTCCAAACTCATGTTAATTAAAAAAGAACAAAAATGAGAAATTAAAAAAATCCCAAACACAAAAAAATAAGGAAAAGAAAACCCAACAATTATCAAACTCAGAAGCCAAATAACCAATCTAATCAAGCCAACTAAAACTAAATTAAACCCCAAACGAAGCACACGTCTTACACATCAATAACTATCTTGGCATCTTGTTTTTCAGCTCATATTGTGATTCACAATGTGAAAAGTGAAAAAGAAAAAGGTTTGCACAGCACGTATAATCAGATTGGCAAAGCTAAGGAATGAGTTTGTTTTTATGGTAATCTTTACCAAGAACAAAACATTTCAAACAAATAAAACCACGTATAATCAGATTGGCAAAGCTGGTTATCTAAACATAGAAATTAGTTGAGCATAAGCTGCAAAGAAATTAGATAAATTAGAAGAACTCACCATCATTGGCACTGAGTTAGCTTCATCCATCGGGCTTGGTTTGAGATATGAAGTTTGGTAAGGACGAAGATAGATGGGTTTCCAGAGAAGCAAAAGCCGACTAGTCTGAGAGGAGCACAGCACAGGTTCCTTGCAAATAATTAATCAGACAGACAGATGCTTCCTTGCAACCACAGCACAGCACAGGTTCCTTAATCAGACAGATGCTTCCTTGCAACCACAGCACAGGTTCGAATCAGATGCTTCCTTGCAAGAACTCTGCCTGAGAGTTCGAATCAGATTTGAGAGGAGCACGTTTGAATCAATGGAGGTGCGATGCCGACGATGGAGGTGCGACGCCGACGAGGTTTCTGCGATGTGAGAATGGGTTTGATTGAAGCAGTGGAGGTTTCAAATCAATGGTGGCTTCTCTAGTGTTCAAGTGGGTTGAGTGAGGCTTTGCGTGTTCAAGGAAGAAGAGCTGAGATGAGGCTCGGCGTGTTCAACGAAGATGAGATGAGATGTGAGAGAGTTGGAGTCCGAAAATAAGTTGTTTCGAGTCCAATTCAGTGCGGCTGGGTATACACTAACACATCTAATTAGCCACTCAACCATTGACACATGTAAACTAATATATATATAAATAAATATATAATTAATTAATATTTAAACGGTTCGGTTCGGATTAGCATAGTTTTTCAAAGCTTAAAACTGCAGTTGAACCAAACTACTCCGATTTGGTTCGGATTTTAAAATTATTGACTTTTTTAAAGTCAAAACCAAACCAAACCGGAAAATACGGATTGGTTCGGCTGGATTGATGCCTAACCCTACCCCACACCCTACCACTCTTCATATCAAGTTTTAGAAAAATACAAACTCCTCTACATCCTATTGCCAGATTACTCTTCTTTTTTAAAGACATAAAAAATTGACGTGCCCACCTCTTTAAATATGCATGGGAATTGATGGAAAGGCTTGTTGATTATCAACTAAACAATACCCAAGTGTTGGAATTTCAGTTACAGTTCTTGGAGATAGATAAAGTTGTTCTCTTTCTCTATAAAATATTAAATTTAGGGTTTAGGGTTCTATTTGTTTGTGTTTTTTTTGCTGAGAACAAAGAAAATTGTAGGGTTTAAATAGAAAATCTCTTTTTTTTATTTTTTTATTTTTTTTCAGTTTGTGGTGTATTTAAGGGTAGTTTGGGAAGATAGTGGGGTTTTCTTAGAAATTGTGAAAATTTAAATTAAAAGATTGGGTGAACTTAGAACATGGGGTGAACTAAGAGAAGTGTGAGGTTTAAATAGAAAATCTCTTAAATCGGATAAGATTGATTTGTATCTTAATAATTAGCAATTTACAATGTGTGCAATTGAATATAAGCGGCAAATACAGCAAACGTATCCCAAGTTATTGCTTTTTCAATCCAATCTTTGCTGATTTATTGCTTTTTCAATGCAGAGTTGAAATTATTTCAAATTAGGGTTCAATATTATAGATATTACCTTAGCCCGATGGTCAGATGCAATAAAGCGTTTGTACATAATTTCACAATTTGTCGTCAGTTTGCAGCACATGCCTTCCAGGTAATTTTATTATTTAGGTTTTTGATACTTTTTTCTTAATGGTTCCTTATGCTAATATGTCCAATGTTGTTTTGAGAATAGTTTGTGATTATGTTTTGCAGGTTGCGTGGTAGTACCTGGACTGTAGATTGTTTGGTATTTGCGTGGTAGTACTTGTAATTTGGGTATCTGTATATGTACCTTGGTGCGGTGGGTACTAATTGTATAACAGCTAAGCTGAGTCAGCACTAGATTAGTTATGGTGTCACGTGCTGTTAGTTAAGGTGTTACTGTGTGTGTTAGAAGCTAAGCAAAGCTAAGGCTAAGTATATAATGTAATCTCTCTGTAGAAACTGATTAACAAAACAATTCAAGGAATACAATTCTCTTTGAAATTTCCTTTCTTTTTCTTCTTCTTCTCATCAGTATCATGGATGTTATCATGGTATCAAGAGCTTAGGTTCGATCTAATTTTCTTGCTTCCGCTCACAATCCGCTTCGATCTCTTATTGATTCTGCAACTTTTCTTGTTCCTAATCTGATTTTTCTTGCTTCCGCATCGATTCTGCAACTTTTCTTGTTCCTGATAAACCCTAAATTTTCAATTTCGTCTTCCAATTCTTCGATTTCATCTTTCAGTCTTCGATTTCATCTTCCGATTCTTCAATTTTCATCTTTCGGTTCTTCAATTTCATCTTCCGATTCTTCAGTTTTCGTCTTCCAATTCTTCGATTTCTCGATTTCATCTTCCAATTCTTCGATTTCTAGATCTTGCACAGTTTTCTTCTCGTTCCTTTTCTGTGATATCTTAAGCTTTCATGGCGACTTCTTCTCCGTTCAAGATTGAAGGTCTTCTCGGCATGCTCACTATCAAGTTGAATGATGAAAACTATCTCAAATGGCGTTATCAGATTGAATCAGTTCTGGAAGGTTATGATCTGTTTGGTCACTTCGATGGAACGGTATTTCATTTATTTTAGAATTAAAAAAGATAATGGGTAGTTATGTTCCATAAAAATAGGATTCATTATCTGATTTTTCTTTTAATTTTAATTTTTTAAAATATGAAAACGTGTGAATTTACCATATTATCCTCATTTAATTAATAATTTCAATTCTTAATGTTTGCATTAACCAAGGGCATTTTCTGGTATTTTGAATGTTTCACCATTCTCTGCCTTTTGCTTTATATTAATAGCATATTTATATATATATTCTAAACATGGAGGGTTCGGGTTAGGGATTAAAATACCATCCTTGCCCCTCCCCGAACACCATACCCAAAAACTTCCCTGTACCCATCCCCATAACCATTTTTTGTCCTTCATACCCGACCCATTAGGGTCAAATCCCCGCGAAGACCCTTATCTGCTGGGAAAATTGCCATCCCTACTCTAGCCTGCTCCCTGCTGCTTGTGGATCTTCTTGTGGAGATCTGTCAGCTCGTTTTCTCCCCTTCTTTGTGGGTGTTTTTGCTCTCCCCTTTTGTGGGTGTTCTGCTTTCCCCTTTTGCAGGTGTGTTGTTTTCCCCTTTGTGGGTGATTTGCTCAAGCTCTGCTTAAACTCTGAGGCTTTATGCCTTCGGTTTCCTTTATTTACACAGATCCCCCTTTATTTCTCATCCCTTGTATTCAGTTGTCCCCTCCTCCATCCATGTAAGATCCCACATTGACCAAAGGAGAGGGGTTGATGTGCCTTATATGTACATGCCCGCATCCATCTAGCACGAGGCCCTTTTGGGAGCTCACTGGCTTCGGAGTCATGGGAACTCCGAAGTTAAGCGAGTTGGGGGCTAGAGCAATCTCAGGATGGATGACCCATTGGGAAGTTGCTCGTGAGCTCCCAGAAACAAAACCGTGAGGGCAAAGAGGGGGGCTCAAAGTGGACAATATCGTGCTACGACGGAGCGATCCCGGGATGTGACAATTTGATATCAGAGCCACTTTGTTGTGTGGTGCGAGTGTGCCGACGAGGACGTCGGGCCCCTAAGGGGACCAACGGAGAGGAGGTGATGTGCCTTATATGTACATGTCCGCCTCCATCTAGCACGAGGCATTTTGGGAGCTCACTGGCTTCGGAGTCATAGGAACTCCGAAGTTAAGCGAGTTTGGGCTAGAGCAATCCCAAGATCGGTGACCCACTGGGAAGTTGCTCATGAGTTCCCAGAAACAAAACCGTGATGGCAGAAAAGGGGCCCAAAGCGGATAATATCGTGCTACGACGGAGCGATCCCGGGATGTGACAAATTCATTATCAAGAATGGTAGTTAGAATTTGACCCCGAAAAAAGGAATAAAAATGGTAGTTAGAACAAGAACTTACAAATTTTGAAGAAAAAATCTTTCAACCATGATTAACTATGGTATACTCCAGTGGATGTGGATGGATGTGAATGGATGGGCCCTTATTGAAGACTTGTGGTTTTGATGGACGGGCCCTTATTCAATTAAAATTTTAATAGATTTTAATTATATGATTTTAATGTAATAGATTTCAACATGATTTATAATTACATGATTTTTCTTATGATTTTAATTCACTTGGGACTTTCTTGTATTCTCCAAAGTACATTTCACCGAAGTGTGGATTGGATTCGGGTTAGCCATCTTCCATCCATTAGTTAAAGGATCCCAAGCCTTTCAAGAAACAGAAAGTTGAAGTTACCAATCTTAGCTCAAGTTATCATTACTATCTGTCATGTATGGCTTTCTTCAAATCATCCTGTTCTAGAGCTAAAACCATAGTGATCCCAAATTTCAAACATAACTATCATTAAACTAAAACCATGCCATGCAGGTATTAAGTTTTGGATACAAAACTTGGTCTGGAACTGAGAATTGACATAGGAACAAGCTACAACAAGGAAAAATCTTGAATTAATTGAATTTATAAATATTACAACAGGCAAGTTAATTGAATCAATTCAAATAAGAAACTAGACAGCTGAAAACAAGTCAAAATGGTCCAGCTATGACATGATACTAGTACAGAACACTTGTCACTCAAATTGATTCCACAAATTGACTAAAGAAAGACAAATAAATCGAAGGAAATAAATGAGCTGAAAATTTATTGAGAAAAATGCTTGCATATTGCATAATATGAACAACTATTGAAAGCAACGTATCTGAAATTATTGTTTAGATATCTGAAGGTAAGCCATCTGAGTCTCTTTTTTTTGGGCAAAGAGATTATCCATAAGATGAAAGCAAACAAACAGTATAGATATGAAGCCAAAAGAAAGGCGGGAAACACCTCATGCAACCAAACAGCCAGGAGAAAAAGGAAACAAAGATAGACTAGAGAAAACAAAGAAAACAAAGACTATCTGAGTCTATCCACTAAATACAGAAGGATCGAGTCTTGTTAAACCAAGCCCTTGTAAAGACATGAGTACCTTGTTTATCTTCATTTGTTCATCTTCCCCAAAAACAAAAAACATGAGAGTCACGCATAGGAGGGTGGGATTTTTTATGGGGTTTGGTATTTATATCACCCACTCAAAAGTCTCACACAATACTCCATTTAACGAAATACCTCAAAATCAGCAAGTTTTTGAATACCACCGTACATTTTATTAACTTTTAGAAGTCTTAATTGAATACCACAAGACTTGGATTGATTATTTTAAAATCCTAATTGAATACCACCAGATTTTTATTGATTACTTAAAAAGAGTGCTGTTATTTCCACCCTCCTGTCTTATTTTCCCAACCACCTTATCTTCCCACCCACCATGTAAATTTGAAAAAAATAAAATCTTATCTTTCCACGCACCATTATTCCTAAAACACCCTTAAATTATTAAAATAAACTAACAATAAAATAACATTTAAAAAAATAAAAAACAAAAACAAAAACCCTCTCTCTCCCCTTCCCGACGCAACCCCACCCCCTCAGCAACACTACACTTGCCACCAGCCCCTCCCCCACCTCTTCACACTCCTCCACCATGGCTTGAGTAAAATTCTCAAAAATACTTAGTTATTTGTGCAGAGCTTCTTCAACCTCTGCGCGAAATTGGGGTTGAGGGTTAGAGACAAAGCCATGATTAATACCAAAAAAAAGCAAATTCACCTATGGTCTTATATCAATCTGTCAGAGACAAATAACCCAAATAAGAAAACACTAATTCACCACGAATTCAAAAGATAAAAAAAAACATAAACAAAAATCTAGAAAGAAAAAATAGTAAAGAAGCAGATGAAGAGGCTTTAATCTCATACACCTCTCTTTTAAAAAAAACTCACTTGGTGTAGAGTTTTTATCAAAAATAGCCAAAATTTACCCCCCTACTTTCATAAATGTCAATTTTGTTAAAAACTTTCAAAAATAACCAAAAACCCACTTAAATAGACTCAAATGCCCCCAAAACTAAAACCCACATAAGTTAAAACTACTACTATTTGATTATATATATATTTTTTGGACAAATTCGGGAAACATTAGGAAAAGGAAATCGCACTTGTGGATCCCGCTTCCATCTTCTAACTATCCATTCCATTACTCACGTCCTCAGCCCAGAGGCAGTCCCCTCCTCCATCTCCATGTAGAGCACTGATCACTTACAATACACACTTTTATATTCAAGTCCAAGTAGCTAATTCCTCAAGACCATCTTGGTTGTGCAAAGTTTCTGAGAGAACACTATATAAGTTTTTTTTTTTTTTATAATAAATAAAAGTTCTTCCATCATGAACATTAAAGAAGCATGATGGATTCCAGTAAAAACAAGAAAAAGAACCATGTTGTCCAGTAAAAGGATGAACAGATACGGATCTGATACTACAATATTTAAGAAGACACTATGCAGTATCATATCATGTATGTATGACTCACTTCATAAACAGGTCCAAATGATTATAAGCATATAACGAGATAGTTAAGGATCAAAACCTATATATATATATATATATGTTGTGGACTGTTAAGATCCCATGAGCACGACTATGCTTGGGCCTGCATATGTTTATTAAAAAAAATGGTAGACCGAACAAAGAAGCAATGGAAACCCAAAAAAAAAAAAACGGCACTTACCGTACAGGGAGTTCGACTAGTGCTGCAAATGTGCCAACTAAATTCTAAATTTTTATCTTGTAGGGTTTTGCATTTTAGATTTATGTGGTTTTAGTTTTGAGGGCATTTGAGTCTATTTAAGTGGACTTTTGGCTATTTTTGAAAGTTTTTTACAAAACTGACATTTATGAAAGTAGGGGGTAAATTTTGGCTATTTTTGATAAAAACTCTACACCAAGTGAGTTTTTTTTAAAAGAGAAACGATTGTACTAAAACGGTGGATAAAGCATCCACAACACTTGATTTATTATTATTATTTTTTTAAAGCAACCACAATCAACAAAAAATGAGACCACATGAAAGAATCGAAAAAAAAAACAGAGGAAACGAGGAACACAGATTCGTTTCACCGCTGCCACCAAATCCAACACAATGAAAAAATGTTGTTTTATTTTTATTTTAGTTTATTGTTTTATTTGAAATGCTTTAAAAAAGTTTTTTTACTTAGGTCTTTAAAAGTCATTTTACAAAGGAATAAATTTATTTTAAAATTTTAAAAATAAGACGGGTGGGAAAATAGGACAGGTGGGTGGAAATATCAGCACTCCTTAAAAATCCTAATTGGATACCACATGACTTTTAAGCTTTAAAACAATCTATTAAAATCTCAATTGAATACACCCTCCTAAAATTTTATGTACCAAAGCTTTTGAGGAAACCAGAATTTGCAGCCTGAAACTCTAAGTAATTACTCATCCATATTTTGAGTCGGACAGATCTCCAATATGACAATGCTAATTAAACAATCTTCTCCCATAAATTTCCCTACAGAAACGGCAGGCAGGCATAACTAGCAAGTCACATTGCAAATTAATGCATCAACAAAGTAAATCAGTCATTATGTATGGTAATGAGTCAATGACTGGTGTTTTATTCGCATAAATGAAAGACTTTACAAGTCATTAGCAGTATAATTACTAGGCTGCCACTGTCCAACAACTTTAGCTTCTTTGACACTGTCCAACTTGGCTGCCGTAAGTGAAGAGTTCTGAAAATTGCTTGCCAAGGACCAATACAACACCATGAAACCCATTCTCACTCCTCTGTTCCTTCCCCTGTTTCTGCACATCATCACCGTACACGTGGCCGGAGATACTTCTCCTATCTACACTCCGGTCGACGATATCACCCTTCAATGTGGCTTTTCCGGCAACCAACTCAATCCAGGGGATAACAGAACTTGGACTGGAGATATCAACTCAAAGTTTTCCCCCTTTCCAAACCAAGCAGTTGGCCGCTCCTCCATATACAGACAAGCACCTTCTTCCTCATCTGTCATCCAAGTACCTTACAGCACCGCGAGGCTTTCTCTCTATGTGTTTACGTACGAATTTCGAGTCACCAGCGGCCAAAAGTTCGTCCGTTTGTATTTCAACCCAGTTTCATATGGCCCTGACTTCGACCGATCCAACGCCCTCTTCTCAGTCACAGCCGGTGGCTTCACCCTTCTCAAAGACTTCAACTCTTCAGTCACTGCCGATGCTTCCGGGTCTGATACAATATACAGAGAATTCTGCCTCAACGTTGAGTCAGAACAGAGCTTGTACATCACCTTCAAGCCAAGCAGAGCAACTTCAGATGCGTATGCGTTTATCAACGGAATTGAAATTGTGTCCATGCCCAACTATCTTTACTACACCTCTGCTCAAAATTCAGATGGAGTTAATTATATAGGCAGCGAAAACACATTTCGGATTGAAAACGGCACTGCGCTGGAGATGGTGTACCGATTCAACGTCGGTGGAAGCTCACTGTTGTTCAATAAGGACACTGGTATGTACCGAAAGTGGGATGGCGAGCAAGATGAGTACAAGTACTTAGACTATTCAAGTAAAAAGTTTAGTGTTTTACCACAAAACAGTAGCATTGAACTCAACTTTACTGAAATACCAGAGTACTCTGCTCCAGAAGAACTTTACCAAACTGGCAGGTCAATGGGCATGAACAAGACCATAAACAAGAGCTCTAATCTTACCTGGGAGTTCCCTGTTGATCCCGAGTTTTCGTACCTGGTTAGGCTTCATTTTTGTGAGTTTGAATCTGATATTACCAAGCCCAGAGACCGACGGTTTCTGATCTTCATCGCCAATCAAACAGCTGAAGAAGCCTGGGACATAATCTCGCGGAGTCGTGGAAATGGAAGACCAATTTACAAGGACTACGTTGTGTTCAGGCCTGCAGGCCCTGTTGAAAGTTAAACCAAGCAGGAATCCAAAGCTACTTTTGTAAGAGCATGCTGTCGGGTGGAATATTTTGTTTATTGGCTCAATGAGCTACTGTTATTCTACCCATGCTGTCGGTTGTTGTCCCAATAGAACTTTTCTCTTTTGACTAAAAGCTTGTCTCTAAAAGAGACGTCTCTAGTTTTGTAATGAGAATGTTGTAGTAAAAATACTATTATTATTGAATGTGAACTCATCAGACGGGTTAAGCCTTTCTTCCATATTCTCTCTGAGTTTCCAGCTTGAGTCTTCTTCCTTCTATTCTCTTCCGTGTCTGTGAGTTTTTACTTGCTTGCTGTGTTATTTGGTTTGCTTGTCTTGAGTTAGCTGCCGTGAGTTTTTGATTTATTCTACATCTGGTATCAGAGCTGAGGCTCAAGAAGGATGGCAAACAGAAATGACTTTGTGCAGTGCCCTGTTGGTAAATTTTGTTAGAAATGTGCCCTAAGAGCCAATACATTTGATGTAATCTCCTTAGAATACATTTCGTATATGATATATATAAAGGGCAAACTTATTTTGTTATCTTTTACATCGTGTAAAGAAACAAATGTCCAGGGTATGCTAAATAAGAGATAAAGTAATCTAAAGAAGATTAGATTCATGAGACCTTTAATCTCTAATTATAGCATCCCAAAGTGTTCCTAATCATAGGTTATCAAATGGGCATTGATAAACCGTCAAGATTAGCACATATTATGTATGCTCAATTGGGAGGATGGTTAGTCTCAAACCATTTGTGTAGTTGACACTAATACAAGTATGTGGGTGCTCATTAGTGAATGAGTACACTGAACGCGATCAACCGTAGTTCTCATATGGAGTATTTATCTACATGTCAAATGAGAACTCATAGTTGCAATAATGCAAATTAGTCCTTAGACCTGAGGCATCATGGTTGTCTTGTGATGCGTTATTGATCTTTGATAGCTCTTAAAGGCAAGCCGTAAAAGATTTGTCTTAAGTGTTGTTGGGATCTCTTAATTCATCATAGGGGCATGTGAATGTACAATAAGGAATCTCTACTTTCGATAAAGAAGGAGAATGTTTCAAGATGTGATTCAGTAAATCTTTGGCCAAAGTATTTTGAGCTTGATTTAGAAAGTTGTTCTTAATCATGTTCTTTTGAATCACATGAGGTTATAAATCATATTAGGGGTTTGACATAATCAATCCGTACCCTAATAATATGATTTGAAACATT